TCCTCTTAAATCTTGATTTTTGCCCGACGAGTAAAAGTTAAATTCGAGCTCAAAATGCTTGTTTTCAGTCCGCTGCGCCCTCTGCGCTTAAAGCCTATAACTCTGCAAGTGAGCCTTTTTCTTCTAAATTCAATAGCAAATTCAAAACTGGTTTTTGTTTGACTAAAATCCAGCGGCGCGCCAGTTTTTTCTTAAAAAATACGCCGCCGAGTGCAACGCTGTACGCGCGACTGGCTGAAAAAATTTGATTGTTTCTGAGGCAAAAACTCCAAATTTTTCCTTAAAAGCATTTAAATGTTTTTGGTAAAAAATTACCAATTAAAGTGATACATAAAGTACAGTGTTGCACGCTTGCAGATAACATCAACATTTAAATAACAATTTTTTTTTTGTTATCAGCTAAATTATAAAACGGTTTGTCGATAAAGCATGTTTAATGTAATACATAAATTGTTCTGAACCTTCGACGGCCAAACTCGCAGTTTAAACAGGACTGTGCCGACTTAAGGGTGTCCAATTCCCGTTTTACTTTATTTCCTAGTAAAACCCTAAAACTAGTGAAAATCAGCAGAAAAACCACATAAAAGTAAGTAAAAACATTGTAAATAATACAGTTTTGCAGCAAAGTGGCCACCCTGTACGCAGGCGACGTTGCCAAGTCGCCATCCTTTAAGCCATGTCAGCCTTTTAAGTTAATAATCACCTGTGTTGATCAAACTTTTCTATTTTCCGACATAATTGCGATCTAACCAGGAAAATTTGCGAGGTATGGCAACATTCAATTTTTGCTGAAGTTTGACAGCTATGACAACAGACTAAAATTCGTGTCGGTTTAGGCTGGTGATGCTTAAACACCCTGCATCCAGCGTTGATCACTAAAATTATTAGGAACGTAGTATTTTAACACTGTACATGGCAACACTGTCAAACAAATTCAAACAATATCAGGCAATGTTGGGAATCTTCCAATGCTAAACAGGGGAAATCTGACAAACTTAGCAACATTGTTAAAAGATGCTAAATCTTAATCACCAACCGGAAATGATGATGATTTTGAAAATTGAGTAAATTTGGCAACGGGGCCAAGCACAAACATCTATTAACAGTTTTAACTAAGTCATCAACAAGCTTCAAAAATGCTTGAATAGCAGAATGAATATAGAATAATAGAAAATAGCAGAATAGCTTGCTCCTTTTAAAATATTGTAGACTTTTCGAAAATTTCGCAACAGTGCAATGTGCAACCAAACTGTTATCGCCCTTACAAGGCATCTGAATGGTTACCTTGAAATGTGGCAACTTTAAACATTTGAGAAAATTGTCGAAATTTTGCAACACTGCTCAAACAACTTCCAAAGATTGTTGCCAATGTTAGAAACCACTAAACTTTAATGATGCTTAATCCATGGTTGATCACTAAAATTTTAGGAACGTAGTATTTTTTAAAGACTTGGCAACACTGTCAAACAAGTTAGAAATCAGACAGTGTTGGCAATCTAGCAACGCTTAACAGGGAGGATTTTACAAATTTGGCAACAGTGTTAAAAGTCTGAGAGTCGCTATCGAGATGAGAAGAGCTGATGATTTTGAAAATTAATGAACTTTGGCAACGGGGCAAAGCACAAACATTTATTAGCAGTTTCAAATAAGTCATCAACAAGCTTCAAAAATGCCCTTTCGAAATATTGTAGACGTTTTGAAAATTTGGCAACAGTGCAAGGTGCAACCAAACTGTTATCGCCCCTTCAAGGCATCGGAAAGGTTTCCTCGAAATGTGGCAACTTGAAACATTTGAGAAAATTGACGAGACTTTGCAACACTGCTTCCACATTAGCATGTCAATTGAACAAAAAATACTTGAAAAATACTTGAGCCCAGCCAGCTGTAATCGAAAAAAAATGACGCAAATCGGAAAATAATGAACATTTGACAACAGTGAACCACAGTTTTCAACTGTTAAACTTCCAAACGTTGTTGCCAAAGTTAGAAACCACCAAACTTAATAGCGAATCAGTTGGAATTCGGTACTGAATTGGCTTCAAGCATATTTTCAGTAATTAACAGTGTTGCCGCATTTTAGACATTTGTCAAACATTCAGTTTTGCTGACGTTTGACAGCTATGACAGCAGACTGAATTTCGTGTTGGTTTAGGCTGGTGATGCTTAATCCATGGTTGATCACTAAAATTATTAGGAACGTAGTATTTTTAAAAGACTTGGCAACACTGTCAAACAAGTTAGAAATCAGACAGTGTTGGCAATCTTGCAACGCTTAACAGGGAGGATTTTAAAAATTTGGCAACAGTGTTAAAAGGTGCAAAATCTTAATCACCAACCGGAAATGTCGCTATCGAAACGTTTTGAAAATTTGGCAACAGTGCAAGGTGCAACCAAACTGTTATCGCCCCTTCAAGCCATCGGAAAGGTTTCCTCGAAATGTGGAAACTTTAAACATTTGAGAAAATTGACGAGACTTTGCAACACTGCTTCCACATTAGCATGTCAATTGAACAAAAAGTACTTGAGCCCAGCCAGGTGTATCCGAAAAAAAATTATGAAAATCGGAAAATAATGAACAGTTGACAACAGCGAACCAGAGTTTTCAACTGTTAAACTTCCAAACGTTGTTGCCAAAGTTATAAACCACCAAACTTTAAAGCAAAACAGTTCGAAGGTCACCTCGAAATGTGGCAACTTTAAACATTTGAGAAAATTGACGAGATTTTGCAACACTGCTGCCACATTAGCATGTCAATTGAACAAAAGATACTTGAAAAATACTGGAGCCCAGCCAGCTTTAACCGAAAAAAATTGACGAAAATCGGAACATAATGAACATTTGACAACAGCGAACCAAGTTTTTTAACTGTTAAACTTCCAAACATTGTTGCCAAAGTTAGAAACCATCACACTTCATAGCGAGACAGTTGGACTTTGGTACTGAATTGGCTTCAAGCATATTTTTAGTAATTTACAGTGTTGCCGCATTTTAGCCATTTGTTGACTTAAACTTTCATCAAGGGAGTTCTTGGCGAATGTTCTTCACATTCGTTCGCCTTCATAGGCTAATGATCTAACGCTCACAGTGTTGCCGAATGTTTTTCCCACATTCCCAGTAATTTTAGTCAATGGTCAAATATGGTGAATATTTTTTCGCATTGCGATTGCAGTATTCCAGTTGGTTGTCACATTTGCATTGTTGCCACATTTCAATTGTGGACTAAGATGTCTAGATTACCTTGAAATCATCAAATCTGTTTGGCTTGGGTTGCTGTTAACCACATTTTTGATTTGTTTAGAGTTGCGTTGTTGCCAAATTTGCCATACTGATCTGATACGAGGTCAAAATTTAAAACGTCCACTTTGTCAACATTTTATGAAACTGCTGAACGCGGTAACATCGACTGCGGTTTTCAATCACATTGTTGCCAGATTTTGTTCGATTAAGCTTCTGCTTAATTAGAGGGAAAATTGCAAAAAAAAACAGTCTTAGCGCAATTGACATATGGCAAAGAACAGTGTATTGGTGTGCACTGTTGCCAGCCGTCCAAAATATACTGTAGTCTAATAATTCGTCTAATATTTTGTTGTATTTTCTTTCAGATTATTGCGACAAAATGGCCACCATCCTAGGAGGAATCTACGATGTTTACAGGGACTTGTTGGACAACAAAAGCGGTAAGAAAATCAACTAATTCGGTCACCATTGTTGCCAAGTTGCGTAAATATTCCTTAACTAGACCACGCACACTTATTATGTAGGTATAGATGGTATAGATTATGATGTATAAGCGTCGATGTCGATGTGTGCACGATTAATTGATACGAAATGCGGCAACAGTGCAGCAGCAAGGCGCAAGGCAACTCGACCGCCCGTGAGATGACAGCAACTGTCACTTTTAGCAGGATCATAATGCGTCAAACGTTTGAAAATTTGACGTTTTGGTTAGCTTCTCGGGGGAACTAAATCTGACCTGTCAGAATGACAGCTGTCAAACAAATTTTGATCAAATCAACACTTTTCGTATGGAAATTAACGCAATTGGGGGCTTCAAAACACCTCAAGTAATTGGAAATTGGAGTTCCCACAGTTTTTTGGTCCGTTTCAGGATATTTTCGCGTTAGAAAAGGATTTGGTAGTTGATCAGGCCCTGGCCTTCGAAGTCCAAAATATGTGCGTCGTATAGATAATTTCGTTGCGAACAACTTTTCCTAATGACTTTTGGGGGGGAAATGCAGTTTTCACTCCGCAAACCTCAGAAAATGAGCTTAGCAATGGCCATTTTTGCGCTTCGCATGTATGGTCTTCCACAGTTGTCTTTCTGATGCTCTTGTTGATGTGGTTTCTTGTCGAGGGGCGGCCCGAACACATTTTGTGGTTATGTGCAGTTTGCTGCAATGAATCAGGTGTCGTCCGCGCAACGGAAGCGAACTAATTGGTTTTTTCTGTCTGTTTCAGATCAGCGAGTGAAAGGATGGTTCCTAATGAGCTCCCCATTGCCAACGTTATGCATTTGTCTCACCTACGTTTACATTGTGAAGGTTCTCGGCCCCAAACTGATGGAGAACCGTAAACCGTTCGAACTGAAACGGGTTCTCATCTACTACAACTTGTTCCAAGTGATTTTCAGCACGTGGCTGTTTTATGAGGTAAATTTCCCGATAGACCATGTCCAGCGTGTTGCGATTTCTGCAGCTCGGTTGAGGTTAGGCTCCCATGAAGGGCAGTGTTGCCAACCTCCAACCAAAAATCTGCTAATCTCTTTAATCGGTTTCAACCGTTTTTAGGCGTCAGTGTCTGGATGGCTCAATCATTACAGCCTCAAGTGCCAGCCGGTCGACTATTCTCTATCGCCATTGGCTGTGAGGGTGAGTTTTGCATCTGTTTTTTCCAGGTTTTTTCAGGTTATGTTAACTTATTCTTCCTGCAGATGGTGCACGGTTGCTGGTGGTACTACATATCAAAGTTCTCCGAGTTTTTCGACACGGTAAGTTTGGTTATGGCGAATTTTAGGGCTTTTATGTGCTCACCTAATAGAAAATGGATTTAGCAACAACTTTTCCTAGCGGTGTTTTGTGCGAAAATGCGGTTTTCCATCACTTTTCACCGATTTAAATTTGACACTTTCTCATAATGGGGACGCCATTATGTGCCCGCTGGCTGTCAGGCTGTTGTCATGATGTGACAGGACGCGAAATTCTGCGCATTTGTCAATTGAATTGACATGACATTAATGATAAACCGCCAAGATGGAAATTTCGAAAGATTTGCTACTTTCGTGGGACATTTGGCAACATGTTTGGAGCAGCATGAGTGAGCGCTATGACGGTGTCCTTTGTTATCTTATGGGAACAACCGATTTTTGCACACGTTTGACGTAAGCACATTGTTTAAGGCGTTAAAGGCACACACAAGTATGATAGTCTTTGAGAATTTCCAAGGTTTCCGCAAAAATTTGTTTTCAACTTGTTGCCAAACGTTCACTAAAAACTCCTTTTAGTGTAATTTCTTTGACTGCTTTTTGGTCTTTTTACCAAGTTGCCAAAGTGTGCAAAAATGCGTGTGAAAAAAAACCAATGGAAAAACTGAGTTTTGTCAGCGTTTTCAAGAGAAAAGTATCCTCTATAAGTGGCAAAAGTTTCGAACTTACGCCATCATCAGGCATCATTTTGGCTGTTTTTCTCACTCTCCTTCAATGCCACAAAGATTTTTAAAATTTTCCATTCAATTCGTGTTTCATATTAGAAAAATCTAAGAAAACTGATTAAAGGAAGAAAAAGCGGTGTAAGGAATGAATAAACAAGGTTATCGGAAACAGCAAAAAATATCAGAGAAAATTCAGGTTTGCTGAATGAAAAACTAAAAATTTAAATCTTAATTAGCAGAGGAGAAACAGAACGTGAGAAAGAGCGATTTTAAATAACAAATTGCCGAGGAAAAGACACACAAAATAGGCCAATAAAGAGCAGAGACACTCTTTGGAAACCCACCAAAGAACCCAAGAAAATTCTTCAAATTCATCCCAAAAGGCCATTTTGAAGCCAACAAAAACGGAAAAACTTTGGTGCATTAAACAGAAACACTAAAATGAACAAAGCGCTCGTCAGAAAAATAGCATAAGACCAGAATGGAAGGAGAAAAGTGTGTGCGAAGACAAATCACAAAAATTGTGAAAAGTCTCTTCTATAAGCAGCAAAAGTTTCTATTTTCCGTCATCATCAGGAAATTTTATGGAATTTTTCAAAATTGCGTATCTGTGAAGGCTAATTTTGGAAATTTTTTACTCCGGAACCTGCGCAGATGCGGATTCGTATTAATCAGCATTTTCCAGATAAAAGTCTCTTCTATAAGCAGGAAAAGTGTTGAATTTACGTCATTTTCAGACAATTTTTCCAAATTTTTTCAACTTTTCGCATGCAAATTTTCTCGTTTGCTTCGCCAGTTCAAATGGTGATATTTTTCTTTGCAGCAATCGGCCAAGACCAAAAGTTGTCCTCACCAGCAGGTTTAAGAGAAACGCATCTTCCACAGCCCGCGAAAGTTTCGAATTCATGCCCCCTTCAGACAACCAATAATGGAATTTTGACAAAATTGCGTTCGATTTGCGCGTTTGTTCCTGCATTTTTAAGCCAAACGCCTCTTTCCGATGTTGCAAAACTTCCGAATTTACGTCATCGTCCGGGAGAATATCACAGAATTTTTCTGAATTGTCTGGTCTGTTTCGATACGCCGAAAACTTGAAATTTTCTCTCAACACCTACGCAAGATGAAAACTAGTCTTCGCCAGCGTTTGGTAGCAAACAGCCCCTTCTTTAAGTTGCAAAAGTTTCGAATTTACGCCATCATCAGGCAAATTTATCGAATTTTTTCCATCTACGTTGAATGATCCCGTTCGTTTCTGCATAAAAAAAAATCAGTTTCGTTTAAAAAAAGTTTCGAATTTCTCTCATCATCAGGTAATTTTTGTTCGATATTCAGGTTTATTCCTGCTGGCCCCAATTTGACGTTGTTTTTCCTGATCAATCAGCGAACGCAAGTTCTTATTTCTGTATAATTTTTGTGTGCAAAAACCGCGTTTACTTGTTTTAAAGGTTTCGAATGCATGCCATCATCAGGCACTTTAATGGAATGTCCCTGTGGAATTCAAAGAATCGCCATTATCATTGAAACTAATTGCAAAAAATTAACAACAATTACGAAGCGATTTACTGGTGCAAAATGTTCAGCAACTTTCCTTGACTGTTTCGATGGAACGGCGCGCATTTTCAAAAATAATTATTAAATCACTCTAATGTTTTCGTAATTTGATTATTATCGATTTATTATGGAAAAATAACGATCTCTAATTGCAAACGGTGCCAGAGAGTGTCGATTATTACGGCCATTAAATAGCACTTTTCTTTGAGCAAAGTCAGACGCAAATGTGACGAAGTCAGTAAAATTGCCTGATGACGACGTCGCTTCGAAATTTTGGTTGATCATAGAAGAGACGCTGTCCTTGAAAATGGTGGAAAAAACGCGTTTTTGGCTTCGGCAGGTGCTGAGCAGAAAATTGTCAAACTTTGCAACCCAAACAACCGGTTTCAACGGCTGAGAGGCCGAACGTTGGATAATCTAGCCGGCTTTAAAATGCATTTTGATTATTGCAAATACGGCCAGTAATAAGCGAGTTATGAGCCGTAGAGTCGCTGTTTACGAACTACTTTTTTACCCGATTTTAATTACCGAAATGCTGAAAGTTTGATTATCCAAGCGGCTTTACAATGCAGTTTGATTTTTCAAAATC